AATAGAACAAAAAAATTCTATCAGTAGATTCCATACACATCTGCCCTTTGAGAAAAAAGCATAAGCAAACTTTCCTTTAAAAGAAACCTACATACATATTTTAAATAGTCTGGCTTTAAAAAAAAAAATACCTCATCAAATTTTTAAGACAGTTTTCATGAGCAGCACTTGAGTTTCCAGTCTATTTTAGTCCCCTTCTGTGCCAACTACTGAGGTTATAGTCCTTAGGCCTGTGACCCAGCACTCAGTATTCTATGACTTCCTGCTTCAATGTTTGTAGACCATTATGTGGACAGGGTATTTTTTACTTTTCTTCTCTGGAAATTGGTGAGATAATAAGTGACTTGGCCTGTTTTATCTCCAGTTGTAATTCCATAGCAGTTTAGGAAGCAGAAAGACTGATATAAAAATCTATATGGCAGATAATATCAGGAGATTTCTAGTGAGGGAAATGAAGTAATCTCAACTTATTTGGGTTAACAGAATCAGTAAACTGGTAAAAACCATTAACTTTGCATGTTGCTAGACTCACTTGAGCATCAGATGGAAACATACATATTTGGGGATAGCAAAGCAAAGGCAACTGCTACAACTCCTCATTGCTACCACTTACCAATGTAAAACAGGGTTTAAACAGGTACAGCCATATAGGGTTTTCAATGGAATCAATCCATACGAAATTCAGGGGAAAAAGAAGATTGGGGTTTTTAATGAAACCAACCTGAGCTAATACTGTGATGAAGTTGCGATTTAAATGAACAGCTTCATAAAGTGCCAGAAGAATGGCTTCATTGGTTCTAGAGAAAAAGAGAACAAATTGGAGTGGCTCTCACAGTGGAGGAGTTCAGAGTATAACCATCAAGATAAGATTTCACCCCAGCTTATCATTAATTCCTTTGAGTTTCTAATGTTCCCCTTTAATTCCCTTTTGGCATATGCCAAAGTCAACAGCCAGGACTCAGGACATTAATTCCTTAAGACCAATTCTTATCTATTTCATTCATTATCTTCCCTCCACTTTTGCAACCCAACCCAGTTAAGCACTTAACTGGCTCAGATACCCATCCCTCATAAGTTTCATTCCAGAGATAGCTAGGAACAGCTTTTCAGCTTCCTGGGGCTCCACACATATAAGACCAAAGCAGAAACATCCAAGGGTTCATTATTGTTTAAAACTCAAGAGACATTTTATAAATCACCAAAAGTTTGAATCTGTAAAAGATTAGTGAGAGGTAATATTTCACACTCTCACATCTAGTGGGAGAGCCTATAATAGTCCAAGTCACTGCATAAGAATGTCAAGGCACTTACTGTACTGAGATTTTCTCATGGGCATCTGCTATGAACATGCTGCCCACCTGTGGAAGAAAAAGGGAAATGCAGACTTACAGCAAAAAGATGTGAGGGGAGCTTTGTGCCTATGAAGCCTTTTATCAGTGAAAAAACAAGCTGCTTCCTCCAGCAGCAGGGAACTTAGAACTCTGGATCATAAGTCACACACACCAAAACCAGTCCACTTTGAAAATCTTATAACTCATAAGCAATAAATGAAATAATGAGTACCCTACTAAATCATCTTGCTTTAAAAAGCCTTAAAAAAATCCAAGGACGGGCTGGGCGCGGTGGCTCACGTCTGTAATCCTAGCTCTCTGGGAGGCCAAGGCGGGCGGATTGTTTGAGCTCAGGAGTTCAAAACCAGCCTGAGCAAGAGCGAGACCCTGTCTCTACTAAAATTAGAAAGAAATTAATTGGACAACTAAAAATATATAGAAAAAATTAGCTGGGCATGGTGGCGCATGCCTGTAGTCCCACCTACTCGGGAGGCTGAGGCAGAAGGATCGCCTGAGCCCAGGAGTTTGAGGTTGCTGTGAGCTAGGCTGACGCCACGGCACTCACTCTAGCCCGGGCAACACAGTGAGACTCTGTCTCAAAAAAAAAAAAAAAAAAAAAAAGAAAGTCACAGAAAGCAGACTGACTTCAACCAATGTAGAGCTATTTTCAGAGGAATATTTGGGATTCAGACCAAAACTGTCTATGTGAGACCCATTCTCCATCTTTCAGATCATAAAACCTTCAGTCTGTGTCCTAGTCAGAGCAAGTGAACAAGTAAATGGAGTAGGCTGTCTCTAATATGTGTGATATCAGAAGCACTAAGGAAGATGCCCACTTCCCTAAAAACACCTTTTCCACCTCCTTACTGATACTCAAAACTATGCAGCTGGAACTTCATTTGTTTGGTATACAACTTTTTCTCCTTGGCCAAAAGGCAGAGATACCTGGGAGCAATATAATTACATCTAATTCATTTAATCAAATACCAATGTAAAACTTATACTTCTCTAGACTCTGAGAGACTTCATTCATTTATGCTTCAGAGTTAAAGAGTCTCTCATCTATCAGGTTCTTCCCTGAGAGTAAACTCCGAGAAGGGAGAAGAGAACAATGCACAAGCATTGGGGGAAAAATTGCCTCTTTGTAGGGGAGGAGAGGAGACAACTGTTTCTTGCGAACTCAAAAATTGCTTTGCCCTAGAGCTGATTACTTGGATACTAATGCCAAAGAAGACAGAATTTCTGAATCTGCCTAGATTCTAGGACCTCCTAGATTTATCTCTTAAAAATCAGTCACAGAGTATCTGATTCAAAATGCCAAAGCTGCTAATGTTGAGAAACCCTGCCTTAGAGTCTTACAAACATGACCAATAACTTTCCTAAATCTTGGACCTCTCCACCCAGACTCTAAGTCTTTAGAGGAATGACTCAGATCCACTGCACAATCCCTCAACCCCAGAACCAGCTACAAGGGATCAAACAGCCACAGCAGACAGCAAAGGAACACTCAGGGGAGCTCTTAGATCAGTTTATACCTTACTGTTCTGTGTTCCACAGGGTCAGTCCCCAAATAAAGCCAACTCTTTAGGAAGCAAAAGTCTGGCTTAATGTGTACCTTTCCTACAGCCTTTAATGAATTAATTAATTTTGAGAAAAAAATCAGCCCAAGAGAAACCAAAGTTCTCCTTTTCCCTATCTCATTTGGTTTTAGAACTCACTAAAGGAGCTACAGTTTCCAATAAAATATGCTCTGAGCAGCCTCTCTCCCCTCATCATGCCATCACCTCAAACATCTGAACTTCTGAGCCCATATTTGCCTAACCCTGAAGACCTCATATATTTCTGAGCAGGAGAAAAAAACCAGTAGGACTTACCATACTTGTCAAAGCAGAGAAAAAACCACTCTGGTGTTCTTCTTCCTTGTCTTTATACTGCCTGAACAAAAAGAACTAGATTCAACTTCAGTATTATTTGTCAAGTATGTCTTTGTCTCTAGAGTTCTAGGTAATGAGGGCTAGGCATTCTTAGAATTCTCTTACTCCAGAAAACTAAAGCATTATGACAATCTAGCCACTGCAGTTTCCCCTGCAAGTTAAGAGGCACTTACCTTCTCTGGAGGTAGTGTGTAGCAAAATGCCTGGCTACTTTGGAAGAGACTTAGAAAGCAAGCTGCAAAAGTATGAAATTGCTCTAACATATGGCTGATCTAGTTATTTCCCAAACAGACTATTAAATGAAAAGTGTGACAGTGAAACTACTTGAAGGTTGTTAACAGTGAAAATCTTGCTTGTTTTTGAAGGAGGAGGAGGAAAATTTGTGAGTTGAACTACTGAGATGCGACAAATTTGAAGTTCTGATAGTCAATTGTGTATGAGAAAAGTCTAGAGAGGATCAAGAAAGATCCTGCCTGGGCCAGGCACGATGGCTCCTGCCTGTAACCCTAGCACTCTGGGAGGCCGAGGCAGGAGAATCACTTGAGCTCAGGAGTTTGAGACCAGCTTGAGCAAAATTGAGACCCCCATCTCTATTAAAAACAGAAAAACTAGCTAGGCATTGTGGCGCATGCCTGTAGTCCCAGCTACTCGGGAGACTGAGGCAGGAGGATCGCTTGAGCCCAGGAGTTTGACGTTGCTGTGAGCTAGGCTGATGCCATGGCACTCTACTCAGGGCAACAGAGTGAGACTCTGTCTCAAAAAAAAAGAAAAGAAAAGAAAGATCCTGCCTGGTCCTTGCCAGAACTGGGGATACTCCTAGTTTCCAATGATACATTGGTCTAAATGGAAGACCCTGTTTATGGCTGGTAAACTAGTTAAAATGTTCTGCAATAAAATACCAAAGATTAAAAAAGAATGAGCCTAATTGCTTAAACTAAAGAAAGACACTAACTTGGTGACCACACTTCCCCTGGTGTTAAAAACAACCCCTGCTAAAGCCATCAAGCCAAGCAGAGCAAATACATCTGCCAAGAACTGTACCTCTAATTACTCTTTTAGGAGATAGGTAAGAGAACTTCACCCAAGAACTCTAACAAACCTGTTCCCTACTCAACCAATTCAAATGAAAATTAGACCCTTCCATTATGGAAAGGTGGACTTACCTGTTGTACTCAGATAAAGCCTGAGCAATTACAAGCCCCATTCCCTAGAAGGGAAAAAATAGCACAGGTGAAATAAGAGGGTAGCCTTTGGGGGCTGGTGGTGATTCTAGAACTAGGCCAGGGAGAACACTAATTATACCCCCATGGTGCAAGCCCAAGAAGTTCTCCCTGAAAGTTGGCAACAAGGACAGAAATTCTGAGAGGCATTGTCAAGGCATCAAAAGGAACTTCTTTGGAAAGACTTTTCTTATCTAATTGTCTTACTTAATGTTCCTAGGAACAATTAAAACAGAGTAACAAAGGTGAAACAGACCAGCCCAGATACTGATTTCACAGGATCATTTTCACTTCAAAAAAGAAGACTGAGTTAGAATCTTCAAACAAAAAGCCTTCATATTTCTCCAAATCAGCCACATTAAATGTGACAATGAGTCCCAGGCTAAATGAAGGTGCATACAAACAAGTCACTTTCTTTCAGACCACGAGAAAACAAGAATATAAAGGGAAGAAGTATCCAATAATGTTAAAGTGGCTTATCAACTTTCCCCCAAGACCTGTGAAGCATAACACAAAGATCAATTAAGGCCACAAGGATGAATCATGTGTGCATTTTTTACACAAGAGAAATTAGAAAAAATGAAGAGGGCAGGATAGAAAAGTAATAAAGCCAGACACTTGGTCATCTTCTTCCACCCTGTATTCAGAGATCAGATGTTACTTTCAAAACTTCCAAGGATATATATAGCAGATACAAATCACCCCCTTGTTTCAGCTTCACCAAGTTAGGCTATAAATAATATTTGGCTAGTCCTATAAGAAGGAATCTCCCACCATTTAGTCATCTAAGCTTTCTTATTTTTGGATGTGTAATTTATTGACTCTGTAGGATAATCAACATCAGCACACTATAACATGAAATATAACCAAGCATTTCATCGTGATTGGCAACCATATATCCTCTCAAAACCTTCCTTCCATGAGAATAAGACAGGAGACAGGAAGACAGTGGCAGTGATGCTCTAAAAAGAAATACCAATTTCCTCTTCATAGCCAGATGAAATTGACAGAATAGTTCTCTGCTCTCTGTTCCATGGAAAGTAAGGTCACTGAATGTAAATAAGTGCAAATAAGAATATATACCAGGATCCAGATACTCACATTGAGCGTGGCCTCATCATCCACAATAGAGAGCTTCACAATATAAGGATTTACAGACTGTTAAACAAGAGAAGAGACTCAAGGTTTGAATGTGACCTAGTTAAGAAAGCCCATTAGCTACTTAAAAAGTGTTAATAAAAATGCTTCTATAAGGCCCTCTCTTCACAACAATGCTCCTGATACCAGTTCGAATCCATCTTTGCCTGTTTACTCTCCCCATTTCCAATAAATCTCGCAGCGTGTATGGGCATTCACCAAGTGCACACATGGGTACGTATGTAAAACACACACACATACACACACGCACCAGTTCTGTTCTACCTGTGTTTTCCCCTAGGCTGAATTAGTGTAGACCTATGTCTACCACTTCTCCCATCTTGCCCTCTTACTTGTTTCTAAAAAGTAATTGAATGCTCCACAAAACTCACTTTGTCCTACCACATCAATAATTTACTAAGTCCATAGAGATAGTTGTCTTTTGGGGGACATAAAAGCTTCTTTGCCATAAGGCACATATTTATACATTGCTAACTTACATTCCCATCCCAAAGGCTCCTAACCATTTCACAAACTATATGCAAGAACTGATTCACCCTCCCGTAAAACAAAGCCACCTTGGGGGTGGAAAGTGGCAGCTGTTTAACAGCCAGAGAGGCCATTAATGGAGATCCAATACCTAAATAACACCACAGGGGGGAGTGAAAAAAAGGATGATATTACCCAAACAACAATCTGGTCAGAACACTGGGATTTAATGACTGTCCCATCACTTATAGTATCGGAAGATTTCTTCAGTTTTTCCAGACCCAATCTCAGTTGGGCAGCATATGGAAATGAACCTATATTTAAGCTCATTAAGCAACTGGACCATCTCCTACAAGCAGGATGAGAACCAATGACCTTTCCTCCCACCTACAGGAGGCGAGGAAAGACTTCATATAGATTAGGCACCAATTCTAATCCAAAAGAGGCAAGGAACAATAGTTCTCAGACTGGCAGTTTTTACAGCTACCAAGAAAACTCATTACTGAGAAACTTGAAAACCCAACTGAAAGGTTCATTCCCCATATAGACCTTATTTAATCAAGTTTCTAAGGGAATCTTTTGCATGTCAGTTGGGAGTAGAGAAAGAGACAGCTTTGCCTTAACAGCCCACATGTTTATAAGGTTCTATATAATACAATTAAAGGAGGTAAAATCCACTCCATTTGTTACTTGATCTGACAAAGGGAAGGCTCTCAATACTTCTTCCTATAACCAATAGTCAAATTCTGCTGATGCTACAGACTTCAGAGAAGATCCAATTTAAATGGATCCTTGCCAAAGAAAATAATCAGCAGTCAGTTAACCTAGAGATGCCACCATGATGAGAGGAACACAAGAAAGAGTAGGCTGTTTCTTGGCATAATTTTAGAAAGTTCTAGTCACTCACCTTCCCAAGAACAGACTATTTTAGGAAATAATAAGGATCATCTGATTTCTAAGACCAGCATATGCTTTAACAGCAGCTGAGGAAAAGGCAAGTTGGGGAAACACATAGGTTTGAGTTCTAGTTCCTTTACTTACTAACTGTGACAAATTAGGAAGATTAATTTACCTAAACTTAAATTTCCTCATCTGTAAAATGAGGCTAGAGATTGAGTATCTCTTTTCTGAAATGCTTGGGACCGGAAGTGTTTCGGATTTTGAATTTTCTCAGATTTTGGAATATTTGCACTATACTTACCAGCTGAGCATCCCCAATCCCCAAAAATCTAAAATCCAAAATGCTCCAATAAGCATTTTCTTTGAGTGTCATGTCAGCACTCACAAAGTTTCAGATTTTGGAGCATTCTGGATTTCAGATTTTTGGATTATAGATGTTCAACCTGTATTTTCTCCCCTGGAGTTGCTATAAGGCTTAATGAAGTAAGACATGTAAAATCCTTAGCGTAATATCTGGCATATGGTAAGAACTCAGTAATTGGTACAGGTAGCCATATTTTTTCTCCTTTAACATTATTATTACATTCAAAGGAAAGCTCTTTAGGAAAAAGAGAGGGGAAAAAGGAACAACTTGCAACTAAACGTAATAAACAATTTGGTAATTTCTGGGAAGCATCACGCTCAGGGACATATTTGGGATCTGAGTCACTTCATCTCAGGAGACTTGGCCAGTCTAGAAGGCCAGGATCTTAACACTGTGAAAATTTCTATTCTACCAGACAATGATTGTTCTTAACACTACACACCTGTTGTGCTTGTCACTTTTTAAAACTGGAGGCAATCTACTTTTTACCCACAAGACCAAATTACAAACTCAGTGAGCCTTCAGAGTATCACTTTAATAGGATCCTGCCTTTATTTGATCTAAGATATACTTAACCACTTTTCATTGCTCTTCCCTAAACTGTTTTGTGTGTGGGTTTTTGGTTTTTTTTTTTTTTTTTTGCCTCATCTATCTCTTTAGATGAAATGACTAAAATGGAATGCATTACTTGAAGTGAGGAAGAACTACACATTTATTACATGACATCTTTTCCACCACTTCTGTTCCTTATGTCTAATACCTCATTTGCTCTCTCTGTGCTTAGCTGGGTACCCAGCCTCTCTAGTGCCTCGGCACCTTTCTAAAAAGGTTACAATTTACCCTGTTGGTTATTGGTGGTAGCTAGAATGTTGTTCTCCCACAACCACACCATCTCATACTAGTTTGCATAAAATTTCACCAGCTTTGGTTGTGTTATGTTCATCCAGAATTCTTCATGTTCCTGTCAAAAACCTTACTGGTCCATGATTACCAGCCTTCCTTAATGGTTTCTGGTGAGTGACTTATATCAAAAACTGCAAAGCCCAGATAAATTATGCCCACCAGCTCGCCCTTACCCACTACATTAATTCTTCTGGGGGCTTCTGACAGACTAGAGATGCATACCTCACTCCAGAAATATGTTCTCTTCAGTTCCTTGGCCATGTCCAATATTTCAGGCTGACATTTCAGAGAGCCCTACTGGGATGAGCCAGGGTTCAGTTAATATTTAGAGAAGCCAAGCCATTGCCTCAGAGTGGCCTGCATCCAGCAGATGTTCTGAAAATATTCATTACTGATGATGGCACGTTCCTGTCACATATAACTCAATTCTCTTTAACTATCCTCAGCATTTTTCCTCAGCTATTTTTCTTTATGTTGTAATAAGGCCCCAGAGGCTACTCCACATGACAGAGATCAAAATGGCTACCATGCCAGCCCTTTCAGATCACCAGTAAAACAGGTGTTGGTGATAAATTACATATTTATTAGTAGCTCTACACACCATTCATCAGTTCCTCCAAGACAATGAAAGCATCAGCTCCTGGGATTTATAACACATTAACATTGCTCCACATATTCCAGTCTCTCTTTAAGTACTCCTTTGTCACAGTCTTTCTTCCATATCCCTCCTTATAAGAACAAGCTCCAGATTTTGTATTACGCATCACTTTCAACCTGGCTGAATAAAGCCTAACTGTGAATCATATCAAAAATCACTAAGTGAAGATTTAGAAGCTCAGAAAAGAAAATCCTCTCTCCAGCTGGCCAATTTCTCATAGCACTGCTACTTATTAAGTGAAGAAAGTCAGATTGCCTCAATGTAGCTCCTGAATTCTGGGTTCAGTAAAGTGTTCCTAGTGTCCAAGATCCAGTGACAAATGCTTCATACTCCTTAAAAGAAATCCCCAGTGACGCCTCTGTTCTTCCCTGACTGGTCCTCTCTGACTGGTCCTCTTCCTTTTCTGTGGATTTCTGTGTATTTGAGGGGAATCAAATACACACACCAACCCAAGTATATAAATCTCTGGGTTCTGCTCTTCATCTCAAAAACCTATAAATCTGTACCCTGATTAATTCAGGGACAAAGAGAACTCCAGAATTGACATGAATAAGGCCCTGTCTTTAATTTTGCATTAAAATCAGAGTTTCCAGGCCAATAGTGGTACTTACATAAGTAGACTGCATTAAGGAAATCTGATAAACAGTGATGTGGTACATAATGATGTTTTGGTCAACTATGGACTGCATATATGACAGTGGTCCCATTAGATTATAACAGAGCTAAAAAACTATTCTAGTGACATCCTAGCCATCGTGATGCAGCACAAAGCATTATGTGTTTATGATGATGCTAGTGTAAACAAACCTGAACTACCAGTAGTATAAAAGTATAGCACATATAATTATGTATAGTATATAATACTTGATAAGATAATAAACTGTTACTAATTTATGTATTTACTGTATATACTTTTTAATTGTTCTTTTAGAGAATACTCCTTCTATTAGTATTTATTAAAAAAGAAGTTAATTGTAAAACAGCCTCAGGCAGGTCCTTCAGGAGGTACTCTAGAAGAAAGCATTGCTATCATAGGAGACAAGAGCTCCATGGGTGTTACTATTCCTGAAGATTTTCCACTGGGATCAGATGCAGAGGTAGAAAACAGTGATATTGATAATCCTGACCCCGTGTAAGCCTAGGCTAATAATGTGTCTGTTGTATCATAGTTTTTTTTTTTAAGTTTAAAAATAAATATTTTTAAAAACAGGAAAAAAGCTTATAGAATAAGAATATTAAGAAAGAAAATATTTTTGTACTGCTATACAATGTGTTTATGTTTTAAGCTAAGTGTTATTACAAAAGAATCAAAAAGTTTTTCATAAATTGGAAAGTTTAAAAAGTAAAAAGATTACAGTAAGTTAAGGTTAATTTAAAGAAAGAAAAAAATTTTTTCATAAATTTAGTATAACCTAACTTTAAATTCAGTGTACGGTAAGGTCCAAGGCCTTCACATTCACTAACCACTCACTCACTGATTCACCCAGAGCAACTTCCAGTCCTGTAAGCTCCATTTATGGTAAGTACCCTATTCAAGTGTACCATTTTTTTATCCTTTATATTGTATTTTTACTATACCTTTTCTATATTTAGATATGTTTAGATACACAAATACTTACCATTGTGTTACAAGCCTACAGTATGATGTACAATAACATGCTTATACAGGTTTGTAACCTAGGGGCCACAGGCTATACCATATAGCCTACATGTATAAAAGGCTATACCATCTAGGTTTGTGTAAGTACATTCTATGATGTTCGCATGATAAAATCGCCTGACGCATTTCTCTGAATGTATCCCCTTCATTAAGTGACACATGACTGTATAAAAATCCAATCTTTCAAAACAGACGTACTGGGTCAGTCGGTCCCAATCCTGGCTAATCATTATACTCAATAGGGGATCTTAAAAAATATTCCCAGGTACCCCTGCTCCCACCAAGAGATTCTGATTCAGTGTGTCCAGAGAAAAGCCCAGAAATTTCTTCTTTTTAAAAAAGTTCATAAGTGTTCTAATAAACTGGGTTTGGGAACCACTACATTAAGGGATACTTACTTTATTAAAAGTTGCAACACAGGATTCCTTTAATTAACTATATCCTTTGCCCCATGCATTTAATATAGGATTTTTAGAATTTGGTTTATCAAAATTGATCTATATACCATTTACCAATAACATGTCTTTTACGTTAAGCAAACTCCTTTAGGAGGGACCACACTTAAGAAGATTATAGAAAGATAATAACTCTCCATTAAGGGGCCCACTTACTTCATATTTTCTGTAGTTCACCAACAAAGCCAAGAGGACAACAGCATCATATCCATGCTCCCTACGACTTGGGGGATGGGAGAGTATCTGTAACAAGCACCAAAAATGCATGAAAGTGCTAAATCATGGTTCCTGAGAACACAGAGAAAATTTAAGGTCGTTTACCCAAAAGAGAAAGAGGTACTAAGGGAACTGACCTACCTGTAGAATTGCTTCAAATATGCTATTGATCATTACATACTCCAAGATAGTGTTCTGGCTGATGTTGTCTGTCACCTGAATGCAATAAAAGGCTTTTTAAAGTCTGTATTGACGCACTCTGATATCTCATGTAATCTCCTCCCCTAGCATCTAAGAGAAACAGAAATGTTAAAACGTTCTACGAGATACTTAGACCTTTCACAACCACCTCCAAAGTCATCAGAGCCCAAACAGATAGACACTATGAGGGGGAAATCAGCAAATGGAAAAGGTTTATGAATTCAGAAGTCTTTAAGAGGTGGCAGGAAAGAGAACCACCTGAAGTAAATGAAAAACACCCCACCCTCCTCCCACTAGAAAGTACAGGCCAGCCTCTAGTTTTAAATCAAAGCCAGAACAAATAAAAATATTCAGAATCACAAGAGCTATTTCCAAATGAAACCTCATGAGAAGGACAAGTCTGACAATCCAGAAGGCAGTAGTTATCCTGGAGTAGTACTTCTAAAGTGATAAATATCACATAGCCTGCTGACTAAAAATGCCAGCAGTTGCTCCAAAGAGCAACTCCTAGGAAGCAAAAGCCCATGCAACTAACGTGCTATACATGCAGACACAGGGAGTAATATAACACCCCAGCACAGAATTTTTTTCTTTTTCTTTCCAACTTTGGGCTCAAGTATTCAAATTAGCTTGCCCCTGCTATTAATACTCTATTAATTAATATTAATAAAAACATTGATGGGTCACTTACAGTCACTAAGCAAAGGAGAAGTTTCAGACATAAACTCTTCAGACTTTCAGAACCTTCTGCACAAAGCAATGAATCCAAACTCTCCATCAAGTTCTGAGAAAGAGAACCATTAAGCATTAAACCATACCGAATAACATCTATGCCCCACCTTTATCCAACTATGGGTTATGTTCCACACAGTAATGTGAGTGACACACAATGAAGCAACCATATAATTCCCCTAGGCCTAGGCCTTGCAAGATTAGACAATGAAAAGGAAAACTTCAAAGTCTACCTATTTTGGGAAAAATGCTTTAGAACAATTGCACAGAACAATAAAGAATTCACACTTCTACCAAATGAATGTTTGCAGCTTGTCATCCCCATATAAACGTTTAGATTAGAATGAAGTAAATAAAAAAAGAGAAATCTAATACTTAAATAACTGTATGTAAGTTTCATTATTTGATAAAGAATAAATATCACTTGATGCAGGTGCACTGAACAAAAGACAAAGAGACAGTATCACTACTGGCTATCACTGGCCATATGCACTATCTAACAAAGCTAGCTTGTGTCCATCCTGGTCAACTCTACTTGGCAATGTAATTGGAATTTATCACTTGCACTGAAAATCAGCTAACACACCCAAACTAATCAAAAGATGAAACCTTTAAATACTAAAATATAGGGAAGAAGAAAAAAAATATTCTACATTAAATGGAGTAAAAAGTATAGAGAGCAAGCAGCTAGAGAGTAAGCAGCTTCTAGCCTGCTAGAAGGCCAAGGTGAAAGTTCAAAATAAGCTGTTTTAGTTCAATTCAATAAATACATGAGCATTTTACTCTATTCTAAATATTGTGCTTCTTCTTTAATTTTTTTCTTTACTTTTTTCCAAAAACCAGCACCCTAGCATAAATATTAGGCTTTCAAAAAATAAAAGAAAAAATAAGACCACGACCCTTGCTCTTGAGGTGCTTTCAGTCTAATAGGAGAGAAAAATAAGCAACCAGTTTCAATTCAATGGTTACAATGACAGAAATACACATGAAGGAAGAGAATTAGCTTAAAAGTCACCTATTTAAGGACCCCTCAGGCACAAGTCATACTTGAAAAAATCAGTAGGAATTAATTAAAACTTGGGGAAGAAAGGAATTCCAGACAGGCATTAGCATGATCAAAGACACATGAGGAACGAAATGGCCCTGGTAAGGGGCTGAATAAATTATTATGGGAGTATAAAGAATGAGGCACAAGTGGTGAGAGATAAGACTGGAGAAGTAAATACGGCGCAGATCATGAAAGTTTTATAAAGCTAAGTAGGGAGTTTGGTCTTTATCCTGTTAGTGACAGGAGACTAATGAAGGTTTTAAGCAGGAAAGATCTGAGTGTAAGATACATCACCGTGGTGTTAGTACGGATGACAGATTTAAAGATGGGAAGCCTGGAGGGAGACCAGTGAGGACTAATCTGTCAATTTCCTGAGATAGCTGCCATGTCCTACTTGACTCTGCATCCTCATTGCCTATCACAGTGCCTGGAACATAGGAGCCCAACAAATGTTTGTCAAAAGAATGAATGAAGACATTACTGGAATAGTTCGGGTGAGATAACAGGGACAGTGGCAATAGGAAAAGAAAAGACAGGTATGAGAAATATGAGCTGAGATAAAATTAGCTGAACTTGGTGATCATCTGGAAAACAAAGGTGAGGGAGAAGAAAGAGTCAAGGATGACTCCCAGGTTTTTGCCTTGGGGACTGAAAAGACAGGTGCCCCCATTCTGAAAGGGAATGAATAAGGAAGAAGACGCAGGAAGAACAATGAGTTCCATTTTGGATATGTCGAGCAAGAGGTACTTATGGGAGTGAGTATACTCAGCAAGTGCTTACAGAGTATACAAGTCTGAGATTCATGAGGGGATGTTAAGGCTAGAGGCTTAGCAGTCATTAGCATGTAAGCAGTAGTGAGAACTGGAGAATGAGGAGATATCTGGGATTTTATATGGACTGTAAAAGGCGAGAATTTAAAAACGAGTCTACACAGTCAATCTTTGTGTATTCATAATCATATATTCATAATTTTTTTTGGTAACCTAACCACTATAAGGATTCTTTGGTATGTAGATTCCTTAACTTTAAATTTAGTGAGTGACAGAAGACTAGGTCTTCAAAGTTCATATTATGAACATTAATTCGATAAAGTGTCAAACACTGCAAATCATATATCAGATAATGGACTTATATCTGGAAAACATAAAGAATTCTTACAACTCAACAATAAAAAGACAACCCCATCTAGAAATAGGCAAATGATTTGAATAGACATTTCTCCAAAAGAAATAAAGAAAAAGACAGACAAAAACAATTGTTGATGTGATGTTGAGAAATTGGAACCCTCATACATTGTTGGTGAAATTATAAAATGGAACAGCCACTATAGAAAAATGGCTTAGCAGTTCCTCAAATGTTACATATAGAGTTACCATATGATGCAGCAACTCTACTCCTAGGTATATGCCCAAGAGAATTAAAAACATATGTCCACATAAAACCTTATACACAAATGTTCATAGCAGCATTATTCATAATAGCCAAACTGTTGAAACAACCTAAATGTTTATCAACTAAGGACTGGATAAACAAAATGTGATATATCCATCCAAAGGAATATTATTTGGCAATAAAAAGGCATGAAATATTGATATATCCTATAACATGAATGAACCTCAAAAACATTATGCTAAGTAAATGAAGACAAAAAAGGCTACCTATGGTATGATTCCATATATATGAGGTGTCCAGAATAGCTAAACTCACAGAGACATAAAGCAGATGAATGACTGCAAAGGGCTGGGGAGAAATAGGAATGACTGCTAATGGGTATAGGGTTTTGGGGGAATTTGACAAAAATGTTCTGAAATTAAGAGTAGTGATGATTATATAATCATATGAATATATTAAAAACCACTGAATTGTATACTTTAAAAGGTGAGTTGTATGATATGTGAATTATAAGGTTGTTATTAAAAAAAGATAGTAGCAAACAGTAGAAATAAAAATTTTGATAAAATCAAAGTCATTGAGTTAAATAAGAAAGCTTAATGTTTAGAACTAAAGTTCCCCTTGTACTTTGTTATATTTTATTTAAATTTATAAATGTTCTTGAGAATGTATGATCACATGATACAAATAATAAAATAAAACATTCAGTCTTTATCCTACAGGAAAAGGATGCCTCAATTCAAATTTGAATTTAAAATTTTCCTTTATGGCCGGGCGCGGTGGCTCAAGCCTGTAATCCTAGCACTCTGGGAGGCCAAGGCGGGTGGATCGTTTCAGCTCAGGAGTTCGAGACCAGCCTGAGCAAGAG